TCTGGATATAAATTGTCCCATTGGGAACACCCAGCATGGGTTCATGAAGGATAGGTCATGTTTAACTAATTTGGTGGAATTCTGAGGACATTACTTGCATGGTGGACAATGGGGAACCTGTGGATGTGGTGTATCTGGATTTCCAGAAGGCATTTGACAAGGTGCCACACCAAAGGCTGCTACAAAAGATAAAGTTGCACGGTATTACAGGTAATGTATTGGCATGGATAGAGGATTCGTTGACCAGTAGAAAGCAAAGAGTAGGGGTAAATGGGTGTTTTTCTGGTTGGCGGTCAGTGGCTAGTGGTGTGCCTCAGGGATCAGTGTTGGGACCACAATTGTTTACAATTTACATACATGATTTGGAGTTGGGGACGAAGTGTGGTGTGTCAAAATTTGCAGATGACACTAAGGTGAGTGGTAGAGCAAAGTGTGCAGAAGACACTGAAAGTCTGCAGAGGGATATAGATAGTCTAAGTGACTGGGCAAAGGTCTGGCAGGTGGAGTAGAATGTTGATAAGAGAGAGGTCATCCATTTTGGTAGGAATAATAGCAAAATGGACTTTGTTTTAAATGGTAAAAAATTGCAGCACGCTGCTGTGCAAAGGGACTTGGGTGTCCTTGTGCATGAATCGCTAAAAGTAGGATTGCAGGTGCAGCAGGTAATTAAAAAGGCAAATGGAATTTTGTCTGTCATTGCTCGAGGGATGGAGTTTAAAAACAGGGAGGCTATGCTGCAGCTGTATAGGGTCCTGGTGAGGCCACACCTGGAGTACTGTGTGCAGTTTTGGTCTCCTTACTTGAGAAGAGATATACTAGCACAGGAGGGGGTGCAGAGGAGATTCACTTGGTTGATTCCAGAGTTGAGAGGGTTGGATTACGAGGAGAGACTGAGTAGACTGGGATTATACTCATTGGAATTCAGAAGAATGAGAGGAGATCTTATAGAAACATAAGATTATGAAGGGAATAGATAAGGTGGAGGCAGGGAGGTTGTTTCTGCTAGCAGGTGAAACTAGGACTAGAGGGCATTGCCTCAAAATAAAGGGAAGCAGATGTAGGACTGAGGTCAGGAGGAACTTCTTCACCCAAAGGATTGTGAATCTGTGGAATTCCCTGCCCAGTGAAGCGGTTGAAGCTACCTCACTATGTTTTTAAGGCAAGGCTGGATAAATTTTTGAACAGTAAAGGAATTAAGGGTTAGGGTGAGTGGCGGGTAAGTGGAGCCGAGTCTCAAAAAGATCAGCCATGATTTTATTAAATGACGGGGCAGGCTCGAGGGGCCAGATGGCCTACTCCTACTCCTAGTTCTTATGAAGTCAAAAGACCTTGTGGGATTTGGTATTATTGTTGAATTCTCCATATATGGCAATGGCCTAGTGGGATTATCGCTGGACTGTTAATTCAGAGACCCATATAATGTTATGGGGACCAGGGTTCAACTGTATACAACCAAGTCTCTACCTCTGAGTGTATCTAACTGTCAAATACAATATGCCCAAGGAATGTAATTGACTATTACAAAAACAAGTTGTGCTGAACACACTTGAACAATCTGACAGTATCAGTAGAGTCAGAAAGTGAATTAATATGGAGTTGAATATGATTCTTCTAGCCCAAAGACATAGATATCGACCAGCAATTGGGCATCAAAAAAAAAAAATCCTAGCTATACCTCAGAACAGCACTGTCATTGATAGTGATCATGATTTTCTTCTACCATTTTCATTTATGATGTTACATTTTTAACATTTATTTTTATCATTTTAGGCCAAACAAAATTCCAAGTAGGTATTTCTGATGTTGATAATATTGAAGTGAGATTGGATAGTCTAGGGTTTTCTCCTTTGGAACTGAGGCAGAGAGGATCACAATTGAAATGTATAATGCATGGACAGGATAGACTGGTAGGAACATTTTCCCCTTGGTTGGCGGGGTGGGGGAGAAGAGCGCGCAAGGCAGGAAAGAGACAGAAGTAGAGATAATTGACTGGGGTGTAGGGCATGGCTTAGATTTAAGGTAAGGGTCAGGAGATTTGGAGGTAATGCGAGGAAAGATTTTTATTCACCCAGATAGTGGGAGTCTGGAACCCACCGCCGGCAAGGGTGGAGGTAAAAACCCTCAAATGTTTGTTTAAGTATTTGATGTACACATGCCATGCCAAAGCATGCAAGGCTATGAGCCATGTGGTGGAAAATGGTCATTTTTGACTGGTGCAGACTCAGTGGGCTGTGGGAGCTTTTTCTGTACTATGGCCCTCTATGACTATGAATTACAAGGCTTCTTATTCTGTACTAATTCATCTACAGTTTTATTGATATCTATTGTATCACCATCTTTTTATATGTAATGCCAGACTGAATTTACCATAAAGCCTTGTGCCATCCATTTTAGTAAAATTATAACCCCTCAGCAGCCCAAAATTTTCACTGAAATAACACACTTACGGCAGTTTTAAATTGCAACAGAATTTTGTGCAAGCATGAAATTAAGGTTCACAAGAAGCTAAATTTAAGGTCTTTCTAATCAACTTGTTCTGAGATGGTATTACATATCACAGAGCAGATGGTTCTTGAACCTAGGCCTCTTGGCTCAGAAATAGGGACATTACCACTACACCACATAAGCTCTCCAAGAAGCCAAGTTTAATCCTATAAACTACTAATTTGTTGCATAGTTACGTGCACAGATCACAATCAAAGCATGATTGATGGCTACTTTTTGTAGTGTCATTGTATTCCGCAGCCACTAGCTCACCACCCTATAGCCCAAAGTCTCTCCATTACCTTTATGGTACATAATTTTCACTTGTGGAGATGGAAACAGCTTCAGTAATACTTGAAGAACACCAACAGCTTGAGTGGCTGACACACCATTCAATAGATGGAGTATGCACTTCCTCCCAGACCAGCATGCAATGGATTCAAAGTGAACATCTACAGGATTGAAAGGGTGTTGATAATTAATGGACAGGGTGAAAATAGAGTTTAGCCAGTTCTTTCTCTTAAAGTACTTTTAAGAAAAAAAAGACTTCCATCTTATCAAGCCTTTCCAAAAACTTCTCCTAGGAAGCATAATTTTTTTTTTTTTTTTTTTGTTTTTTTGCATTTAGCCCCTTGAGTCTGCTCCAGCATTTCTTTAATAAAAGATGGGATACCTCCAAAAGTCAGCCCACTGATTCTAGTTCCTGTTCCCCAAAGTGGAAAAACTGTCAACATATTTCAAAGTCATACATATTTTTATAAGGTACCTTTCATTCTTCTGGACGTCTATGCAGAGAGGCCCATCTTACTTAGACCTTCCTTATAAGACAATCCTTTAATCTCATCAATTTATGTAATAAAACTTCTCTGAACTGATTCCAATGGAAATATGTTTCTTTGAGGTAACCAAAATTGTACTCAGTACCGTAGATGTGGATTCAACACTATGCACTGTTGTAGCAATGTGTCTGTACCTTCATACTAGCTTTGTCAGCCATGCATAAAGCAAAATAATGACCAAGATACTGAAGAGAAGAAAGCTAGCTAGTAAAACAAAAACAGATATTGGAGTTTCTACAAGAATATGAATAGGACAAGTATAACTAACGTTTGTCCCCACATGGAGAGTCTTAGGAATTGACAGTGATCAAATAAATGGGGAGACTAACTCGTCAATACATTGCTCTGGACATGACATATACTAATAGACAGGTCCCTGTTCTTTGCAGACAAAAAGAAAATGTGCATGCATTGCACCTGTTTCAACACAAAGAAATACAGCCTTAAATCATCCATCTCTCAGAGCTATCCCTTGACTAATCAGTCAACAGGTCTGGTTTAGAATCTAAACAAAGCCAAGCAATTAACTGCAAGTCATTAGTAACTGGTGCATTCTGCATAGCAACACCTCTATCAATTTGCACTCTTAACAGGAATAATGTGGTTTTCCCTTAAATTGTCATTCTTGCAAATTTCCCTCAAGTGCAAGATGAAAATCTTTGCTAAAGCTTTTATTCAGCAATACTCAAGAATTGTACTACCATGACTTAACGTTTTCTGACAAAGTAGCAGTTACAATGGATAAAAGGAAACCAGAAAACATTTGAAAAAAGTCACATTAAAGGCTGTCGCACAAAACAGTACATGGTACAGGAGGTAAGATATTAGCAAAGATCAGAGATCTGTTAGCTAATAGGGAGCAAAGATTAGAGATAAGTGGATCTTTTGAGTTGGCAACTTGTGGCTAGCAGTAAAACTGAATAGTTGAGGTCAATACCTATTTGTATTTAGAAGAATGTGATGATCACACTGAAACATGAGATCTTGAGGAACTGGATAAGGTGGATACTAGGAGAAAATGTTTCCTCTTGTAGGAGGAGACTAAAACATAGGAACAGGAATTGGTCATTCAACTCCGAGCCTGTTTCACCATTCCATGAAATCATGGCTGATCTGTAGCCTAACTCCATTCACCTGCCTTTAGCCCATATTCCTTAATGCCTTTGCTTAACAAAAACATAGCTTAATGAGAAGTTTCTATTAAGAAAACTAGATTTCTTCTGTGAATTCTCCCTCTCAAAAAGTCATGAAGGCTGTCTTTAATTGCAGTCAAGGCAAAAATCAGACATATTTTTGATTGGTCAGGAGTATGGGTGCAGACAGTAACATGATGTTACTACCAGAACCAATTCAACAAAGATCTTATTGAATAGTGGAGCAGGATCAAAGGACCAACATGGTGTACTCTTAGTACTAAAACCTACGAGGACAAACAGGTCTCTCAATTTAAATAATATTCTACATTATGTACAGCTCGATTGTTCTCAACAGGATTAACCAGTTATGCAGGAATTACTGACTCCTTGGTTAGATACAAAATGCAAAAAATAGATAAGTAAAAAAATTTCAAAAAAAAAAAAAACAAAAACATAAAATAAAGCTTGTTTTTCTGGGCAAGACCCAACACATTCTTAGTTTTACTTCTCATTATCTACACAGCAATTTCTCAAAACCTACTGAGAACTTTAACAACTTTATTCCACACAAACAATACCCAAGAGACAACATATATGCGTTCAAAATTGTATTTTACAACAACATTTAAATTACACTCCTGCTGAGGTAGGCAGTGAGGAAGGAATACAAAGTTGTTCAGTACAAAAAAAAAACTTAACACGGTACAAGAATTGCAAATCAGTGCCGTTGCCCAACTTCAGTAGTTTTAAACAGAAGAAAATGTTGCTTCAAATGAAATCTTGTAAAAATGTGACAAAACAATACATCAAACAGACTTTCAAACTATTTTATTAATTTTCTATATAAATAGAGTTTATATTACAACAACTTTGCCAATAAATATTGTACATAGTGTAACTATTAATGGCTTTGCTATATAATTACATCAATATTTATAACCATCTGGAAAGTGACAATACTTAAAGTAAAACAAAAATGTGAATTGTTGCATTTCTGCAATGTACATGGGTCAGATTTTTTAGAATGAACACAACATTGAGAATCAACATAAGGAAAAGTTAATTCAGAAACAAGGTATTCTTTCTTTTCCAAAACTTTCAAACATCAGTAAAAGTTATGAAATAATTAAATCACCCCAAGTTGTCGTTGCACCTTTTGTTCTGCACGTCTATCTAGGGTTCTTTGTCTAAACATAACAATAATAGCAAAGATTACCCCCAGCAAAACCATAATTCCTTCAAACTTCCAGAACTTGAGTTCTTCCATTTCAACTGAACGACAACTAGAAAGAGGTAGAGGTGAAAGTAATATTAATTAGAAATTAAAGCTTAATATATACTTTAGACAACTTCCTTTAGCCAACATTAAGATCTACTTGGCAAATGAAACAAAGCATTGACTTTGAATTCTTTATAAAAGTACAAATTTTAGAAGATAAAAGATAGGCAGTGGTTTAACACATTTCATAGGGATCAAACAACTGAACCCCAAAAGTGGAAAGGGCCTAAAAATGAGGCATCAATACCTGTACTACATCTTAAAACAGTCTCACATAAATTCTGATTAGTCACAAGAAGCAAATGTCTACATTTGCCCCTTACATAATCTGAAAACAGCTAACAAGCTGAAGACACAGAATCAGCCTAATGTTGTTACAGCTTGCTGGGAATAATGCTTCCACAACAGCTTTTCTTTTATATGTGTTTTCAATGTAATACATATATGAAGATCCTTCAAAGGGATGTAGACAAAGCTTAACAGAAAGCTGCAGGAGCAGCTACTAAATATAGCTGAATAAATTCTTGGACAAAGAGCCAGATTTTGAAGAGTACATTAAAATAGAATGGTGTAGAGGTGTTGAGGATTAGGGAAGAAATTCCAGAGCTTGAACTGCTGAAGGAATGATTGTGAATAGTGGGAAGGAGTTGGGGTGGATGGAATACCTTAGTCAGCAAACGGAAAGGTGATGGGTAAAGAGGATTTCAAGAAAGTTAGAGCACAAGCAGCAGAACGATGGAGGAGCTCATTTATGAAGAGTAAGAAAAGGAAAGCTGACCAGGAGAGTTCCAAATGGTTACAAAACCATAGATGAAGTTTTCAGCATTTTGGCTGATGCAGAAGTGGACAGGAACAATATTAAGAAACAGAGGTATTCATTCTTTGAAATAAAGATCCGAAGCTGGATGAAACATGACAATGGTTAAAAACAGACCGGTTCAGCAAGAGGCAGTGACCAGAAGATATGTGGAATCTGTGGCTGGGAATGGAGTTTGTAGCAAGGGCTGAACGTAACAGTTCTTTCTTCAGTCAGAGAAAGCTTCAGCTCATCCAGAACTGGGGTGTTGGAGAAGTAGAATTGTGTGGCAGTGATGAAGTAGAACTAAATGTCATTAAGCAAACTGAACAACTCCCAAACATCTTTAGCATCACCATGACACCAACACAATAAGTCAAAAGCACTGTAAGAGATAATCAAATGGCAGCTAGTTCACAAGATCTACTCTAGTGCCCAATATATTCTTTTGTTTTGGTTCAAGCACTTCCGTCATGATCCAAATTTATAAAGTCAGATATAATACATTCTTCCTGTAGAATTAAGCGTAGTCAGTAGACATTCTACATCCTAAAACAAATTCCACAACTTTTGCTCCTCCTGGACAAGGGAACAATTAAAAGATTGCATCCAAAATGATCAATTGTGTGTGTAACATTGAAAGTGTTAATCAATAGTGTACAAAAGCACAATGGAAAATCTTTTTACATATTTCACAAACATGTATTTTCAGATTATCCCCCAAATACTAAACCATAAATATTTTACATGTACTAAAATGGAATTGAGAATTTCAATAATATAAAATATGAATTCACATCCACTTGAGATCAATTGGCTCGTTGTGTCTGACAGCGCTCTAAATCACCCAGTGTCAGTCCTCTGCCTTTCCCCAAAGCCCTGGAAATATATTGCATTTTCTCCCTTGAGATTAGTTTCAGCCACAAATTTTCCAGTTAGTTATTTAGTTGATCATGGTCCAAGTTTACCAACTAAGTTAATATAACAGCCACTTAATTTTTTAAACCTAATGAAAAAACATAAGTTGAATTCAAACAATGTGATTTTTTTAAAAATATGGATTTAAGAAAACATGCTATCACTTTCTTCCCCTTGCCTCTTTACATTTGCATTTTAAGCAAGTTAAATAAGTCAATGATAGAAATTAATGCAGTTATTATAACGAAGCAAAAACAAATTTCAACCTAAACAATTTGATTTAATATAGTTTTTTTAAAATTCATTTTTGGGATATCAGCATCACTGGCTGGCCAGCATTTCTTGCCCGTACCTAGTTGCCCTTGAGAAGGTGATGATGAGCTGCCTTCTTGAACCACTGCAGTTGACCTGCTCTGGGTTGTATCACAATGCCATTAGGGAGGGAATTCCAGGATTCCAGCAACAATGAACGAACAGCAATATATTTCCAAGTCAGGATGGTGAATGGCTTGGAGGGGAACCGGAAGGTTGTGGTTGTTCCCATATGTCTGCTCCCCTTGTCCTTTGAGATGGAAATGGTCGTAGGTTTGGAAGGTGCTGTCCGAGTATCTTTGGTGAATTTCTGCAGTGTGTTGTAGATAGTACACACAGCTGCTACTGAGCGTTGGAGGAGGGAGGAATGGATGCTTGTGGATGTAGTGCCAATCAAGCACTAGCTGCTTTGTCAACCTTCTTGAGTGTTGTTGGGACTGCACCCATCCAGGCAAGTAAGTAATATTCCATCATACTCCTGACTTGTGCCTTAGAGATGGTAGATAAGCTTTAGGGAATCACAGTATTCCTAGCCTCTGACCTGCTCTTGTAGCCAGTGTTTATGTGGTGAGTCCAGTTGAGTTTCTGGATCAATGATAAACCCCAGGATGTTGACAGTGGGGGATTCAGTGATAGTAACACCACTGAATGCCAAACCAAGCTAAATATAACCATTTAGAAATGTTTTGGAACACATGGCCAAATACAATCCCATCTACTACCTAAAACTATTGCTTTATAATTAATAAAAATCCAGATAAATCCCTTCCCTATCAAATCCATAGATTTTGACTCAACTGTTTCTTCTTAGTTCTTGCCTCTCAAGTTTGGGAGATTTCCGCCTCAAGCACATGCTGACAAATTAGAGCTTAGGTTTGCTCAGTTTTTGAAATTACCAATGCAGATTTCTAGTTAAATACTTCTGATCTGGAAGTTTGACTAACTAAACTCTTTTACTGAGGTAACTTAGTTCCTTAACTGCTCTGAAGAAGCTCATTTTTCTGCCAGAAACTATACTTCTACCTGATCTCAATCATGTCTACTTTGAACTGCCCAAAAGCTTTCCAATCTCCAGGAATTTTCTCAGTTAAAAATCAATCTCCATAGAATCCCTACAGTGGAGAAACATACGATTTGGCCCAACAAGTCCACACCAACTGTCTGAACAGCATCCCACCCAGACTCACCACTTCATACTGGTTTAAAACCATGGTTCTGGAAAGACGACCCAGTTAATTATTAAACCCCTTCATAAAACTTGATGAACAACCATAAGCCATTAGTATAAAATCCAAACTCCAAAACAAAAAATATCCATCTTTCTTCACACTAAGCATTAAGTACTAATAAATTTGCAATCTATGTCCTAAAATCTACACAGAACCTCTGTCCCCACATCATTTTAAAGAGCAAATCCGCTCCATTACCATCAGCCTTCTCCAATATTATGGATCCAGAATAAATACAATGAAATGCATCTGAGCACTTATCAAAAAAGGACCATCCATAGTTAGAAGTGGAGACAAGGCAACTACATGATCCCAAACAACCCAAAATATATGCCGAAGATGGACATTAAAAAGACGCAACTATAAAAGAGACTGAGTGAGTGTTCATACGTGGGTACACAGAATGTTAGTTAAAGATAGCAAACAATTCAAATGGAGAAATCAAAGTTACAAGTGAAGTATAACAAATAGAAATGCAAACTTCATTTTTGTTTCTGAATTAATCCACCCTGCTATTAAGTGGAAGTACTGATTATTTTCCTTCCCCAAAAAGTAATTCGGTATTTACTGAAAAATCTGTCCTTTCCAATGTCAACAACACTTTAAAATAAACTCCGAATTCAGTCCATTAATACTCATTCATCTTACCTCCTATACCTTTGGTCCGATATACACTTTACTTCTTCGACAAATCCAGTAAATGTACATTCCACGTGCACAGTCTGCAAAAGGTTAAAAAATAAATTGAGTAACAGTAACAAGTTACAATCAGGAGTATTTGTTAAAACATAAGGCTACATGGACAGTTAACTATATCAATACAAGCTATCTGGCAAACTCTTATTCAAGATAAATAGATTGGGAAAGAGGGAGGTGCAAAATGAGTCCTGGGTGTCTGTCTACACTAGTTGTGAAAATCAAGCATGGAAGTGCAGGTGAAGGCAGTAAATGATTCACTAACCTTCATAATGGGAAGATTCAAGTACAGAAGCAGGGATGTCTTACTGCAATTGTATGGGGCCTTGCTGAGACCACACTTGGAACACTATGTGCAATTTTTGTCACATTACCTGAAGCCTAGAATGTGTAGTATTGGCACAAATAAAGAATTGGTTAGCTAACAGGAAAGAGACAAGGCATAAATAGGTAATTTTTAGATTGGCTAAATCTAACAGGGGGACTATCACAGGGATCAGTGCTGAGTCCTCACAATTTACAAATTAATTGTATGAAGGGTTTAAATGTATGGTTGCTAAATTTGCTGATGACACAAAGGTAGGTAGGAGGACAAGCTGCTAAGAGGAAGGTGTCAAAGGGATTATAAACAAACAGACAAAAATTTGGCAGATGGAATATAATATGGGGAAATGTAAACTCATCCACTTTGGTAAGAAAAATTTAAAAGTTAAATAGAGAAATATTTCAGAACAATGGGATTTGTCTGTGCTGGTACATGAAGCGCAAAGTTAATTTGCAGGTACAGCATTTTATTATAAAGGCAAATATTTGTTTTGAAAATCGCATGGGGAACATAAAGGCAGGAGATGTTTTGCTACAAGTTAGTCAGAGTGCTGGTGAGAACAAAATTGGAGTACCGTGTTCAATTTGAGCTCCTTATTTAGAAAAGAATATAACTTCATTAGAAGCAGTTCAAAGAAGATTCACTCAAGATTCCAAGGACAAAGGGCTTATGAGGAAATGTTGAGCGAGTTGGAGTTTAGAAGAATAAAAGCTGATCTTACTGAAACATCTAAGATTTTGAGTGGATTTAACATTATAGATGCCAAAAGGATGCTCCTCTTGTTGGAAGAGGCAGAACTAGGGCACACAATTTAATAAAGGAATTTTGCTTTTATATTAAGATCAGGAGACTTGTTCTCTACAGGTCATGAACATGGTGAACTCTCTTCCTGAGTGAGTGAGTGGTGGAGGAACGGTCATAAAATATTTCCAAGGAACACATAGATGAATTCATTCTTGGCCAACAAGGAAGTCAAAGCGTATCAGCGGTTACTATAAGACAATAAGAAGCAAGAACAGGAGGCCTTAAGCCCATGGAGTCCTCTTCACCATTCAACAAGATCATGTTTACCTAATAATCCTCAACTCCAGATTCCTGCCTTTTCCCCATGCTCCAAATCCCTTACCGATTAAAATTTTTACTGATCTCAGGCTTGAATAAGTGCCCCAACTTCGACAGCCCTCCACAGTAAAGAAATCCACAGGTTCACTACCCTCAGAAGAAATTCCTCATCTTGATCTTCAATGTGCATTGAAATGAAAGTGGAATTGAGATCACTGTCACATCAGCTATGTGATTGTTAAATAGCAGAACAAGCTCAAATGGCCAAATGCACTACTCCTGTTCGCAATTTGTTTGTTGAATTCTAAACAACGTCAATCTTGACATACAAACAAATGACCAAATAAACACATTCGCAGAGAAAAGGAAGAAACTAGCAAGAAATAAAACATTGTAAAGACTTCAGTGAATATGCAAAAAACAAAAATAGATTTTCAGAAGTACATTTTACAGACCGAGGCAGGATCAATTAATGGTGAACTATAAACTCGTTAGCTTAACAACAATGGTAGGGAAAATACTAGGATGAAATGGCAGGGCATTTAGAAAATATTTATACAATTGAGTAGAAGAGAACACAGGCTTTTGGCGTACTTTAAGATTATAATTAGGAGCATAAATAAGGGGGAGCAAGTAGAAATAACATTCTTGAATTTTCAATGAATGCACAACATATTGTTATTCTGTGCAATTTCCCAACTACTAATGAAATCACATTGAGAACATACTAGTTTGTGTTATATGTTATCATGATTATCAAACACAGCAAATAAATGCCTCATCTATTTTATTTAATATCAATGCAATGATTTTCCAATCTTTAAAAGAAATTCTAATTACTCAATGCAAGCATAAAGTATTCATAAATTACATGCACACAGTACCTTTTCATAATCATGACATGGAGTGCATTCTCTTATAATGCTGAATTCTTCTTTCTCCCAGCAAGGCCTTGATTGTGAAATACTTGCTGTTTAATAGTAAATAAAAAAGATTCAAACGTATAATTCATAAATCAAGCTTTGCAATATCATATTACCTTTATTAGTCTTTTTTCCTCTGGAAAAATTGATTTTTACATCACAGATTATAAAATTCTAAAAAGTAAACATTGTCTTTTGGACCAGTCCAGTGGTACAAAATATTTAGTGAACCAGCACAGCCACTTTTTAAAAATACTGAACTATATGTATGCGTGATCTCTCATGTCAGGTATTCAGTGGCTGGAGAATATTGGAATAAGGCACAAAGCAGAAATTAAGTACTTTTTCCAGAAGGAGCAGGAAAATAAGAAATAAATCTGGACTATTCCTCTACAAAGACTAGCATCTGACTCCAGTGAATTGATCTTAAAGATCATTTTCTTTCTTCAATAGATGCCTGACTCAGGATGAATAAATGGCTTTTGAACAAGATTGTACAAAATGAGTCAAGTCTTGCCTTTCGCAAACAGAAAAAGCAACAAATTTGTAGAAACCAAGTGGCAAATTAGCAATAAGTAATTTATGCAGTACAAAAATAAAACCTGAAGATAATTCACATTCTCCTTTATGCCCAATCATCACAGATTTTTTTAAGCTTAATATCACACTGCTTTGCGCAATGTCCCTTATTTTCATGCTTGGATATATATTTTTAAATAGGTTTACAGATTCCCATGTAGAAAAGACCACTTCAGCTATTTAGACATATGCGTGATGTCACGTAATGTCTAGGTGAAGTGGCTAGGCTTCTTATTGCATCTCAAGGTTAAGGCAGACTGCAAATTGCCCAACAGATCTATGATCCAAGCTTCTGTTGGCCCTCTGTCATTAGAATGTTGGATTTTGAAGAAAGTTCATTTACTCACTGGAGATTGTCAAAAAAGGATTTAAAGCTTTGAGGCAGCACTGTTCCACAAAGGAAGCTTTATGCAAAGTGTTATGTTTTTGAAGTGCTTGTTTAACATTTTCAAACATGTAGCCTGGAAACAAAGTGCTTATTTTAAAAATAAACCTGCATATGAGCATGCTCTTAATTTAGGGGGAGAATCTACATTATTCCACTGCAATTTCATGTGATCAAGGTCAGAGTTGGACTAAGTTGGAGATTTTTTTTTTTTTTTTTTTTTTTTTTTTAAAATACCAGCTAACATATTCACAAGTCCAGATTAGTATTTTAATGTTAAATCCATAATACAGTAATTCAAGTTCAATTTATTTTAGGTGCAATTGTTTTGACATGCTTTTGTACATCAAAAGCACAAACGATCTCAAATTAAATCACCAGTCAAAACCTCGATCATGCAAGAAAGCAAACCTTAAAAGTTTAAGGATATGGGTATCGTAGCTAAGGCCAGTATTTATTACCCATTTCCAACAGCTTACAAGATGATCATGGGGATTTACTTAAGTCTGTGTGGTGGAAGTCCTCCGGTAATGCACTTAGTAAGAAGTTCCAGAATTTAGATCAAAAATGTACAAGTTTGGATAGTGAGAGACTTGGTGGGAACTTTAGGTTATTTTGCTCCCTAATATTCGTTATTCATATTTCCTAGTGGCGAATTCCTGACTTTTTAAAAGGCAAGTCAGGATGTAATAGATAGTCTGTTATAAAGGTCACTGGAGCTGCACTTATTTGCCACAATAACTGCAGCTTCAAATGTTATTTGAAAAATGACACCATCCATGATAAAGCAGCGTACGGGATTGCCCCATCACACACAAAAATATAGTGTGAAATTGCTGGAGAGATTATGGTTGCAGTTCAAATTACCTACAGCATGCACTGCAGCAACTTGTCATGACTATGCCAAAAGCTTATGACATGAGAAACAGGTTCATAGGAACACTGCCATTTGCAGGTTGTCTTCCAAATCACACACCATTAACAGTATAATTTGGCCCCAGTGGACTGGGAGCAGCCACTATCAAAACTGTATCAGAGCAGTGGGAGGTATTCAAGGGGGAAATGCTAAAGTATACCTGTTCAAGAATGGAAATAGGGATAATTCAGGAAATTATAGACCAGTGTGTCATAGCGGTGGTCTGGAAACTATTGGAAAGGATTCCAAAAGGATAGGATTAACGCCCATTTGGAAAAGCATGGCCTAATTAGGGACAGTCACCATGGCTTTGCGCAGGGCAGGTCATGCCTTACTAACTTGATTGATTTTTCCAGAGGAGGTGACAAGGGTGATCAATGAGGGTAGAGCAGTGGATATTGTTTACGTGGATTTTTTAGTAAGGCTTTTGGTTACATCCCTCACAGTGGTTCATTCAGAAGATCAAGATGCATGGCATCCATGTTTCAATTCATAATTGGCTTGCCCATAGAAAACAGAGGGTAGTGGTGGAAGGGTGTTTTAGTAGCTCCTGGTCCATGACTACGGTGTTCTACAGGGATCCATACTGGGACCTCTGCGGTTAGTGATTTATTTATTTTTATATAAATGACTCGGATGAAAATGTAGATGGGTGGGTTAGTAAGTTTGCAGTTGACACAAAGATCAGTGGAGTTGTGAACAGTGTAGACGGTTGTCAAAGGATACAGCGGGACATAGATCAGTTGCGGATACGAGCGGGGAAATGGCAGATGGAGTTTAATCCAGGCAAGTGTGAGCTACTGGACTTTGGGAGATCATTTATGGGAAACTATACTGTTAGTGGCAGGACTATTAACAGTATTGATGCACAAAGAGAACTTGGGGTCCTAGTCCATAACTCCCTGAAAGTGGCCACACAAGTAGATAGGGTGGCAAAGAATGCATATGGCATGTTTGGTTCAATTCTGGTCATCACACTACAGGAAGGACATGGAGGCTTTAGAGAGAGGGTGCAGAAGAGGTTTACCAGGATGCTGCCTTGACTAGAGAGTACGAGCTATAAAAGGAGAGGCTGGAGAAATAGGATTTTCTTCTCTGGAGCAGCAGAGGTGGTGGAGAGACCTGATGGAAATTTATAAAATTATGAGAAGCATGGATAGAGTTGACTGTCAGAATCTTTTACCCAGAATTGAAACGTCTAATACTAAAGGACATGCATTTAAAGGTAAAGGGGGAAAAGGTTCAAAGGAGATGAGGGGCAAGTTCCTTTTTTTTTAAAAAAAAAAAAAAAAGCACAGAATGGCAGGTGCCTGGACGCACTGCCAGGGTTGTAGTGGAGGCAGATACATTAGGCTGTTTAAAGGGGTTTTTGGCCCAAATCTGCTGGGTCACAGTTGGGATAGTTGTTATTCTTGGGGGTTTGGGAAAAGACCTCAGCTGGAGTATTGTGTGCAGTTTTTGAGTGCCAGACAGAGAAGGATGTGAACATATTAGAGAGAATGTAGAAAAGATGTGCAAGAATATTCTAGGGGTGAGAACTTCAGTATGAAGATAGATTAAAGGGGTTGGGATTGTTTTGCTTTGGGAGAAGATGATTAAGAAGATTGAGAAGTTTACAAAGTCATAAAGAGGTCTGGATTGAGTATATGAAGGTACATTGTTCCTACTTGTAAAAGAATGGGGAATAGAAGGGTGTAGATTTAAAATGAATAAGCAAGGAATGGAGGGATATGGACAGGCAGAAGGGATTAGTTTAATTTGGTGTCGTGTTTGGCACATATCACCGTGAGCCAAAGGGCCTGTTCCTGCACTGTACTGTTCTATGTTCTACAGGTTAAATATGTTTCCCTCTAAAGACAACGGGTGGGACTGAGGCCAGAGAATCCTAGATGCAATGAGACTTACCAGGTGATGACTAAGGGAAACAAAGAGAAGTTTATGATCGATACCAAGGGTTTAACACAGTCATTGGAGCAGCATAAAAAGTGCAGAGAGGTGAAACTTAAATTTGAAATTTGGAATGCATAGATGAAAAAGCATTGGTGGGTAGACAAATGGAGAGTACAGGAGGGGTTTTTCAAATAGACAGAACAAAAGAACTAGGGAAATAGTCGGGCCCTTCAGGTAACAGAGGTAATCAGTGAAGTCATGGACACAGTCAGTCAATGAATACCTCTAGTCAGTCTTCACAATGAAAAAGGAGACACAGCTAAAGACATCAGGGTGGAGTACCATGAGATATCAGAAGAAATGAACACTAAGAAAGCACTAGTGGGTTTAGCAGCCTTAAAAGTGGCTAAAAACTGCAGGCCCCAGGCTGTTGAGGGAGGCAAGCGAGGAGATATCAGGGGTTTTGGCAGTAATTTTCAAATCCAGGTCAGTCTAACTTTAGTGTTGGGGAAGTTATACAAAGAATTCTAAAGGGACTGAATATACACTATGAATAATAAGACTCTGGAAAACATTGGAGGCCAGTGAGACCTTGGTGTACATATTCCATTGATCCCAGCAGGTAGCAGGGCAGATAGATAAAGTGGTTAAAAGGTGTATGGGATACTTGCCTTTATTAGCCAAGGCATAGAATACAAGAGCAAGGAGTTCATACTGGAAGTACACAAGATGCTAGTTAGTTCACAACTTTAATAGTGCATGCAGTTCTGGTCACATTATGGGAAAGATGCAATTGCACTCAAAAGGATACAGAGAAGATTTACCAGGATGCTGCCTGGGCTGGAGTGTCTGAGCTGCAGAAAGATTGGATAGGCTGAGGTTGTTTTCATTGGAGCAGAAAAGATTAAAGGGACCTGATAGAGGTTTGTAAGATGAGGAGGAGCATAGATAAGGTGGCACTTTTCCCCATTAGTAGAGGGGTCAATAACCAGGGGCACAGATTTATCACAAAATTAGGAAGTGAAGAGGAGAGAGGAGAATTTCTTCCCCTCTTCCCCTCTTCCCCCTCACCTCCAACTCAGATGGTGGTTGGAGACTGGAACACTGCCTGAAAGTGCAGATGAGTCAGAAACTCATATCATTTAAGCAGTATTTGGATATCTAGATAATGTTACCCAAAACTATAGGCCAAAAGCTGGCAAAAACAGGATTAGTGCAATCAGACCTTTGTTGACTACTGCAAATACAGGCCTCTTCCTGTGTTGTAAAATGCCCGAGTCTATTAGTGAGCTTTATTCATTTATAATATCCCTGTGAAGGACCTTCAGACATTTTCTTACATTAAAGGGGCAACATCAAGTCAACGTTTTTATTGACTTGGAAATATATAACAGTTGCTTCATCACTGCTGAATTAAAATCCACAACTTTATTATCTAGCTACCCTATAGGAATATCTTCTCAATACAGACTTCAGCATTTTTTCAACTGCTGGTTCACCAACACAACAAGAGCAGTGATTGATATTAAATGTTGTCCTTGCCAACATTCTCATGAATAGTTTCAATGGCAGTTAGGATTTGTTTTTTCTTGCCCTGTCCAAAAATTACAGCGAATTTTGCTACTTACTTGCATTCCTTTCTGACTGCAATGGTACAGCATCACATACTCTGGAAGAATCCAGACAAATTATAAACATACACAAACAAGCTGTCACACTGCACACTTCAATTTTAGATTTTATTAAAATCTAAAGAAAATAAGATGGACTCCATAAATGCATTATGTAATGTTGTAAATATTGTATACATTAAACCAATTAAAAGTGCATTTTCTTTCATCATATTTAATTTTGTGCAGCCAAGATGTTCTGATAAAATAGTGACAAATAATTTATCAAGTATGAACAACTGAAAGAGAAATTCAAACTGGTAATGGACCAAAAGTGAATTAATGACAGATGTTGAAAGGGAGGATAACAACCAATTAGGAGAAAGTGATTGAAATCTTTGTTAGAAAGATGCATAAAGGTTTGTATGGCAACAGTTGGAAAGTTCAAGAACTTTACTAGAGCCAGCAATCTTACTAAGGTCTTGAAGTTTCTATCTGGTATTTTAACTGAATCTTGCAATTGAATTTTGTTATCGGTAATCCGTATTGGTAAATTTTGGCCAAATGTGTTATTCCACTTAAAAATGGACTAGATACTTTGCAGTTAGTAAAACAAAAATGAATTCTTATGCTCAGATGAAACCATCACTTAATTTTTAAAGGGCCTTTGAAATTAGGTATATATTATTGTCACAATGTCAATTCCAAAGTTTGTGTTATGGCAAGTACTTAAAGGATCACAGAATCATTGGAAGCCATTTGCTGCATGGTATCCAAACAGCTCTCCAAATGAATTAAATTCTCCTGTTTTTTGCACATTAGAGGATTATTCAAATGGAAACAATGTCTTCTTGATTGCTTCAATTGAACCTGCCTCCATCACACTTCAAGGCAGTGCCTTCCAGAACCAAAACTGTCACCCCACATTGTATTCACTACATTTGCAATTCATTTTAAAATCTACACCCTTTCGTTCCCCATTCTTTTACAAGTAGGAACAATGTACCTTCATATACTCAATCCAGACTTTTATGACTTTGTAAACTTCTCAATATCCTCTTAACCTTCTCTCAAGGCAAAACCATCCCAACCCCTTTAATTCATCCTCATACTGAAGTTCTCACACCTAGAATATTCTTGCAAATATTTTCCATATTCTCTAATATGTTCACATTCTTCAGTCTGGCACCCAAAACAAAAACTGTACACAATACCCCAACCCCAGCCAAGGTCTTTCCCAAACCCTCAAGAACGACAACCATCCGTGACTATCTCAAGTGTGCTCCAACAGATTTGCCACTTTACAGAAGTCCCCAATTTCACCCCTCCTGAACCAGTCCCCTGACTTACCCCAGCCCTCACCAATTTACCTGGCACGCATATGCCCTCAGCCAAATTGCACCCTCCTCCCTCAGCAGCCTGTCACACCGACTTTCTCGCAGTATTCATTAATGTGCAATGGACCATTAAAACACGTGATATTTTGCTGAAAAAGGGTAATGGTTTCAGCACTGATCCATTCTGCAGCTGTCTTTGTGGCTCTGTCTAAGCTGCTTCAGCTGAAAAAGGATCCTGGCCCAGAAATTCACCTGAGAAACTGTACCAAAGGTAAGCGGGCAACATTTAGTCTAAACTGGGAGAAACCCAGATCAAAAGATTTGAGCCGTTATCAACTTAAACTGTTCATAGCTGACACTTGTGTACTCTTTCCATGTTAAGCCACTCAATATTAATAAGGAAAATTTTAACCATTGACCTTTGTTAGCCCATGAGAAAGGATTCTGCTTCAGTTGAGATAAGCTACACGATTAAAAAGCAGGAATGAAATTTGTGGCATTCTGTTCTGCAGTGACTAGAGGTACACTGGATAATATTTTTATCTAATAGATCCTGAGCATTAGCTTTGCAATTTATAGAACTGTGCTCATTGTTGATTGGTAATGATCACCTGCAACAACAACTTGCATTTCTATGGAATCTTGAACAAGAATTAAGAGGTGCATATTTCAAGTTTGAGGAGGGTGCACTACTATCCATGGCCAGGCTCACCCTTGAACAAGCGGACTAAAGATTGAACTATAACCGGCAACAATCCCAATTCAATTTGCCTGAAGGTGTTCGAAAAGGAACCAGAGCAATAAAGGGCTGTGTGACTAGTGAGAACATATGAAATAGGAGCAGTAGGCTATTCAGTGCTTCAAGCCAATTCCATCATTTAATATCTTGGCTGATCTTCTCCTTAAGAAGTTTTTTCTGCACCAGCCTATATCCCTCAATAGGCTTCCTCACATTAAAAACATCAGTCTTAAACAATTGAGCTCCACAATCCTGTAACAGAATTCTAAAGATTCACCAACCTCTTCTACTGAAGAAATTCCTCTTCATCACAATCATAAATGACCAGTAATTTATTCTGAGACTGCTTCACTAGTTCTAGATCCCCTGCAGCAGTGCAAACATCCTCACAGTCAAACTCAAAGAATTCTGTACGTTTGAATGAGGCCACCTCTAATTCTCCGAAGCCCCAGCCTACTTAATATTTCCTCATAAGATAAATCCTCAATCCCATGAATTAACTTGGTGAAACTTTGTTGCACTTCTTCTATGGCAAATAAATCTTTCTGCAGGCAAGGAGAACAGTTGTGTGCAATATTCCATGTGTGGTCTCATCAAGGCTCTATATACTACAGTAAGACAGTTACTTCCACCCTCAAATCCTCTTGTAAAAAAGACCGACATACCATTTGTCTTGACTTGCTTGCTGTACCTGCATGTTAATCTTCAGCTACTCATGATCAAGGACATTCAAGCGACTCTGAACTTCAACATTTCCCAATCTCTCACCACTTTAACATTATTTTACAGTCTCTCATGTCTCTTCTTGGTCTCCATCTATCAATGTTACCCACTCACTAAACCTTTCTATATTCCTTTGAAGCATGTTTGTATCCATTTCCTAACATGCACGTTCATCCATCTATCATCTGCAAACTTGGAAATATTACAGCACATTTTTTATTAACCAGCACCAATGGGATCAGAAGTGTGCCAGGTGATCAAATCATCTGAATAGTCAAGAGGTACACATAACCACAGCAAACCCTGACCAAGTGAAGCTTCAAGACATCAACATCTCAAAAAAAAAACTATAAAATATTAACATGTCCAAAAAAAAATCAATGTAAAGACATAGAGTAAGTAATGTAACAAAGTGGGTATAGACATCATATACTTTATTTACAGCATAAACACTTCAGCATCACAGTAGATAATTGGATGATGTATATAATTTTTGCCTGTTTATCAAGAGTACCAGTTAAAACAAAGCGTGCTGTACATTTAATTCTGACAACCAAATCATTGATATAGAAGTGAATAGCTTGGACCAAGCAGTGGTCCTCATTTTCTTTTTGTAAATTGTGGTTTTCTCCATTCTTCTTTTGTTGAATCATGGGGTTACACCTGCCACCTTTCAATCTGCTGGGATCATTTCATAGACTATAGAATTTTGCAAGTTGACCACCAACACTTCCATCACCAAAGTCACTTCTGGGATGTGGATTATCAGATCCAGGCAATAATCTATTTTATGTCCCTTTAGTTTCTGTAATACTACCTTTTATAAAAATAACAACGTTAATACCTTTCAATTCCTTATTTACACTTGTCCCAAGATGCTTCATTTATTTTGGGATGCTTTTAATATTTTTAGTATTTAGATTCACCCAAAAATCGACCATCAAGATTGCTCTTAACAGGTTTTAATTTAAAGTGAACTGTATGCTTAATGTCTTACATCAGTTGTAAAGGCTAATCAAGTTCAAAACATGGCTCTGCATATAACGTTATTTTACCTGAAAGATATGAACATATTCCATACTGTACACAGATAAACTAGAAGGTACACCAACTCTGCCAACTGCAACATTCTTTCTTCCCTGTTCCGAACTGGGAACTTATTTGCTGTAATTAAAAAAACAGCAGGGATGTTAAAAAGTGCACTTAACTAAAGAAGCATGCCTCATTTGACGGTATTTAATTATCAAAACAAACAAAACATTCCATCAACGATGCCTGGGAGAATAAACTCTAGTCATAAAGTCAGCATAAAAACAGACCCTTTAGCCTACCATGTCTATGCTGACCAACAAGCATCAAACTACACTAATCCCATTTCCCTGGCACGTAGTCCATAGCCTCTACATACTGGAATTTTAAGGGTACACCTCAATCAAATCCCTGCTCAACCTCCTCTATTCCAGGGAAAATCAAACCCAACTTTTCCAGTGTCTCCTCAATGGAGACTTTTCATCCCAGGCAAAATCCTGGCGAACGTCCTCTGCAACCTCTCCAATACAATCACGTCCTTCCAACAGTGCATTGACTTCAACCGCACAAAGTATTTCATCTGTAGCCTAACCAGTTTTTGTAATGCTGTAATCCCAAGATTTAACAAAGGGGAACAAAGAAAATCAATCTACCAAACCCTATACTCCAATGTCAGTCATCAGTAAAATTCTAGACACAATAATAAAGGATGCTTTGACAATAATGTTACAATCAACATGGATTTAGAAAAGGGAAATGAATACCAGTGCTTGGTACCCTACTCCTATATTCTACAACCCAGATGTGTTGACACCATCAGGGATCTATGGACTTGTACAAAGTTCGCTGCTCCTCAGTATTCCCTAGGGACTTAGCATTCATTGTGTATATCCTTCCCTTATTGGATCCCGCCCCCCCCCCAAAAAAAAATGCATCACCTCACACTTATCAGGATTAAAATTCCATCTGCCACTGCTCTACTTTTTAACCAGCTGTTCAATATCAGACTATAACCTGAGAGCATCTTCCTCACTATTAAAAACACCACTAATTTTCACGTCATCTGCAGATTTACTAATTATACCTTCTACATTCACAGCCAAGTCATTAACATACATAAACAGCAAGGGTCCCAGCATCAATCCCTGCAATACATTACTGGTCACAGATTTCCAATCACAAAAACCCTTCACCATCACATTTTGCCTCTTGTTTAAAAGACAATTTTGGATACAGTTTACCAACTTGGATCACATGGGCTCTTACTTTTTGGACCAGCCTTCTATGTGGGACCTTGTCAATGACCTTACTGAAGTCCATGTAAACCACATCAACTGCACTACCATCAATATATTTAGTTACTTTTACAAGAAACTCAATTAGTCAAAGGATCTCCATCTAACAAATCCACCCTGCCCATCCCTGATCAATCCCTGCCTTTCCAAGTGTTGATTAATCCTATCCCTCAATTTTTTCCAATAATTACCACTGACAGACTAACTGGTCTGTAATTACCTAGCCCATTCCTCACTGCATTTCTTGAACAGATGAACCAAATTAGCAATTCTCCAGTCATCTGGCACTTCACCTGGGGCAAATGAAG